TCAAGGCCCTTATGTGCTCTATCAGAAGACCCGGAGGACCTTGATTATCTTACTCCATCGCATTTTTTGACCGGCGGTCCAACCCTCACCCTGGTTGAAAGTGAAAGAGATATGCGAACCCGCTGGCAGTTAACACAAAAGATAATTCAAGATGTTTGGAAACGTTGGCGCACCGAATACTTAACTCAACTAACTTCAAGAAGTAAGTGGAGACGACCGCATCAAAACATCAAGACAAATGACGTAGTTCTTATACATGATGAGAACCTACCCCCAGGCAAGTGGACAATGGGAAGAGTAGTGCAACTACATCCCGGCCAAGACGGGTTTGTTCGCGTAGTGACGCTAAAAACAAAAAATGGCTACATACGGCGTCCTGTCATCAAGTTGTCTATACTTACTGAGTATGAAGAAGTTCCTGACAGTAAACAAAATGATCAAGATAACAAGAAACAACAAATACCATTACCAAAAAGCAAGAAGAGCTTAGCAGCCGTATGTACAGCTATACTATTCTTCCTGACTTTATTAACGACGTCAGAATGCAAAGTCAACACCACTCAATTTAGAGAAAATCAAGGTTTCTATTTCGATAAACTATCCAACATGAACTTAATCAAAGACGAATGGAAGATTGTCGTGTTTTACGAAATGAAACCCTATTGGCAAGGCACAGAAGCCGTAATAGCTTACACCAAATCATTAGAACAAATTTGCTCGCACATACACGAACAGTGCAACTCGGTGCTACTCCAATTACGTCACGAGCTCAATGAACTTGAACATTATAATCAGCTGTTCCTGACTAATCAGTTTCGCGAGCGCGGACTCAGACAGCGCGTCCGTCGAGGTCTTATCAACGTTATTGGAAACATAGCAGGAGATTTATTCGGTGTATTAGATGAAAGATTTGCACAGCAATACAAAAGAGATATCGGGATGATACAAGCTAACCAAAAACATATCACAAGTTTATGGAAAAACCAAACTTCATTAATTGAAGCCGAAAATAATTTACTGAAAAGGGCCGAAGTCGCTATGAATCAACAACATAAAATATTAAATCAACATATAGTTGCATTAGAAAAGGCCGTTAATATGTTGAAAGAAGACGTACAAAGAAATATGGTTCTTAATGACTTTGCATTAGGGGCCATAATAGCAAGCAATATGATGAACAACTTAAAGACAATGCAAAATACATTATTAGATACAATAACAGATGTATATCATGGACGCATCAGTTTACATTTACTGACACCTACCCAAATTAGCGATGAACTTAGCACGATATCAAGTCAATTACCAAAGGAAGTTGCTCTACCAATAGACAACGTTCATTCAGACCTTAGCAAGATTTATAATCTCCTCACAGTAAAAACAAGAATGCTGAAGGATTACGTCATGTTTGAAATAAGCCTACCGCTTATCAGCAGGGATAAGTTTGAGATTTTTAGGGTTATTAAAATACCTAAATATCAAGATAGACAAATGATAACATTGGTTCCAGTTTCAGATTACATTTCAATCAATTTGAGAAAGGACACATATATATCCATGATGGAAAATGATATCAACCAATGTGTCATGCAGTCAGGAACATGTTTCTATCACATCCACAAGCCAGAATATAAAATGAAAGAAAATGATAATTTATGTCAGATGGGAATATCGGAATGTAAAACAGTAATTGAACAATGCCGCAATTATTGGACAGAAAGTTATGCAATCAATACATACGTATATTTTTGTTGCGACACTTGCACCGTTCGCACGATTTGCACGGAAGAGATGAAAACCTATCAACTAACAGGTTCTGGACTTATCAGCATTGGACAAGGTTGTTTGTTAAAGACAAACGAGATCACGATTTACCCGTCCAAGATTCACTCAAGCGAAATCAAGATTTTGCCTGATCTGCCAGCACCGACTATCGCGCCAATCAATGACATCATTAAGATTACCCTACCGCAATGGTCTGCGGGAAACCAGACTAATAATTCCCAAACAAAATTGTATCAAGATACAGAGCAATTTGGAGACAGGATTCAGTTGCTCATGCAAGAAGAAGACCAGACACCGACAGCATCGGAGGAGATATCATATCATGACATACATCACTATGTTATGATATATGTGATGCTTGCCATAGTTGCTATCTCAGGAGTAATATATGCACTTCGTCGAGTACGCTGTCGATGGCAAGTACCGCTAGCGGCTGCAAGAGCAGAAACATCGACTACACCACCGCTGCCGAGCACACGGCGTGCAACAATGCCAGGGACAAGACCTCAGACTGAGAGGATAGAGATGGATTGATTTTAGTGAAACATGTTTTTATAAAGATTTTGTATTTTTTATTTTTTCTGTTTTTTATCATGATGTTTATTAGTTTTAATCATTTGACATGTGAACATATTTTATTAATTTGATTTGTGCGCCACAGCCTCATCATCTCCCGCCCGGGAAATATGTACAAAGTACATGAATTTGTATAATTGCAATTTTACTCTTTGCGCATTCAACGCTTTACTTATTAGACCAGTTCGCGATTGACCGTACAAGTGTGCACACAAGTCATTTTAATATCAAGTATTGTTTTAATAAATTTCTATATTTCAACAAGTTTTATTTATCAAGATTATCAGTAATCAAGACAAGAGCATCAGCTCCAACAAAAATTAAAAATATAATTAGTCCGTAAGTTAGGTAATGAAAAAATATTAGACACGTATTTTTTATTTTGTCGTATAAAAACAATACTTAGATAAAACGAATCAAAGTTTAGGAGTGGGGCTAAAACATCATTTCTACGTATAAAATGTACATGGAAGTGACGTCACGCGACATTTAAAATCAATAGATCGTCGAAAGTATTCGTTTCTGTAAAAAAATTAAAATTTACGTGTCTAATGATTTAAAATAATCTACCAGACGGACATTAAAATAAAAATTAGGCATCTACCCTATTAAGTTACACATCTTTTGCCTAAAAATTAGCATACAAAGGAGATCGCTATTTGGGCCTTTACTAGAACTTTTATACCCAATGGCTAGAATGTACATTTTATGTAGTATACGTACGTGCCATTTTTTTCATTGACGATTTTAATTTTTTTTCATTTCAATTTCACAAAAGGCCGACAAATGTAAGGAGCCGAAAAGTTACTAGATATAAGATACTAGGTGTTTGGATGTTTGTCCGTCAAGGCGTCAATCACGCTGAAACCACTGAACGGATTTTAATAGATAATGGTATACAAGCAGGGCTGAGTTAGATGAAAGCCTACTTTATATCCTGATTTTAATGCTCCCGTGGGATAAAACTGGAATACGAAGCAAAACCTTCAAGTGTGGGAGAGCCATGCTTCGGCACGAATGGGCCGGCTCGACCGGAGTGATACCACGGCCGAGCAGAAAACCGACGTGAATCAACGTTTGCTTTGTGTGTCGTCGTGTGAGCGAGGTTACCGGAGGCCCAATTACATCCCCCTTCCCCAATTACCCCAAATCCTGAATCCCCAACGATCCTCCAACTCCTAATCCCCAAAATGCCGATAACGCATTTGTAACGCCTTTGTTCCAGGTGTCCATGGGCGACGCCGATCGCTTACCATCAGGTGATACGTTTGCTGGTTTACCAGCTTATGCCATAAAAAAAATCCGCGGGTAAAAGCTAGTAAAGAATAATAATAAATTATAATACTTACAAATTAAAAGAAAAACCAACTTCACGAATATCATTCTAGCTAGTTATGAATTAAATTCCATGAAAAATTCCGCAAAACAGCACATTCTAAGCCCGTATTCATAAAGGCAGATTTTCGAGATCGGATTTTACTACGTCGCGGTTTTACTGCGTCGTTGGCTGACGACGAAATCGTTGAAATTATTTCCGTTTTTGGTAAACTCAGTAGGCTTTTGTACCTATTTTGTATTTTTTATTAATAAAAAAAACAAAAAATAATCAGTCGAACATAGTAGGTACCTCCTCCTTTTCTGAAGTCGGTAAAAAGAGGGAAATTATCCAATGACTTCTCCCGCCTGGTTGAGGCGGGAAGGAGTGTCAGACTCTTACTCATTAAAACACCCCCGTTCCTGCTCCTGCACTTCGAGCCGGAACCCCGGTAACCCTTTAAGTCCTCCGCGGCTCTGTATCGGCATCAATCCATCCTGTAGAGTGTAGTGGTCTGATGTCTGCGCACCGACCTCCCGAACGGCGTTAGCACAATATGCTACGCCGACGACACGCTGGTGCTAGCGCACGGGAGGTCGCACCAGGCGGCGGCCGACTTAATGGCGACAGCGGTTGCGACAGTCGTTGAGAGAATCCGGCAGTTGGGACTCGAGGTGGCGCTCCACAAGTCCGAGGCCATGTGTTTTCATGGCCGCGGGAACGCGCCACCTCCGGGTGGGTCCCAAATAACGGCGGGAGGAGTTACCATCGGCGTCGAGACGACGATGAAGTACCTAGGACTCGTCCTCGACAGTCGGTGGAACTTCATTGAACACTTCCGACGTTTGGCTCCAAAGTTGGCGAGGACGGGGGCTGCGTTTAAACGCATCCTCCCCAACCTCGGGGGGCCAAACGCCTCCTGCCGGAGGTTATACGCCGGGGTCGTGCGGTCCATGGCCCTCTACGGCGCCCCTGTTTGGGCGCCAAACCTGTTGCGGCGTCCCGCTCGGACGCTGCTCATGGCACAGAGGGTCATGGCGATCCGAATGATCCGCGGATACCGCACGATCTCTGGGGAGTCGGCGAACCTCCTTGCCGGATTACCGCCGTGGGATCTGGAGGCGAAGGTGCTCGCGCGCGTGTACAGCATGCGCGCGGAGGCACGTCGCCGGGGCGAAACCCCGCTGCCGCGCCAGATAGGTGCGTGGCGGGATGAGCTCCGGCGCGATCTCATGGCGGAATGGCAGCAACGACTGTCGCAACCGAGGGCTGGGCTCGCTGCCATCGCAGCGGTAAGTCCCCTCTTTGAGGAGTGGCTTGAGAGACGCTACGGCGTCCTCACCTACCGCCTGACGCAGGTCCTCACCGGACATGGAAGTTTCGGGAGGTACCTGTGTCTGATGGGGCGGGAGGAAACGCCCGGGTGTCATCACTGCGAGGACCGCCCTGAGGACACGGTGGAACACACGGTGGGAGAATGCCCTTCGTGGGCTGAGCACCGCCGTGTCCTCAGGGAAGTGATCGGCGATGGCGACCTCTCGCGTCCGGGCCTAGTGCAGGCCATGATGCGGAGCGAGGGGGATTGGGATGCCGTCTCCTCCTTTTGCGAAGCAGTCATGCTAGCTAAGGAGGAGGCGGGACGCGTGAGGCAGCGAAGCGCTGCCTCCTCGCAACCCAGCCATCGCGAAGGACACACCGGGCGTCGGGAATCGCGGGACGATCTCCGGCCACCGTAAGCGCGGGCCTGCGGACAGCGAGCATGGGTGGCTCCCCGTCCGACCAGAAACAGACCCGAGCGTACGGCGCGTCGCGTTCCGCGCGCGCCTCAAAGAGCCATCAGACCACTACAGATGGGGCCCAATAGGGCCGATGCCGATTCAGAGTCGCGGAGAACCTAACGGGTAACCGGGGCTCCGGCTCGACGTGCAGGAGAAGGAACGGTTTGGTTTTTAGTCAGTAAGAGTCTGACACTCCCTCCCGCCTCACCCAGGCGGGAGCAATCATACGATGATTTTCCCCACTTAAAAAAAAAAAGTGGTCTGATGTCACTTTGAGGCGAACGCGGAACGCAACATGCCGTACGCTCGGAAGGTTTACGTAGGTACCTATGGAGTCTGAAATCGTATGGCAATGGCAATCTCTTTTTACATGCCTATAATAATATATGAATAGTTGACACGTTATTGTGTATAAATGTCGTATCGTTTCATTAAACGCGCAGGCGCACGTGCATGCTACTTACTCAATATAAGGGTCCGGTGTGGCTCGAACTAGTCGTGTTACCACTTCGATCAGAGTGCCAAGCACGAATAACTATCGCATTCGTAACGAAATAGTATCGAGCGCGTTCGGCGCTCTGATTGGCCGGCTCAAGTGAACCAACCAATCAGAGCGCTTTACTCGCTCGATACTGTTACGATACAAAATCAATAGTTATTCGTGCTTGGCCCTCAGTTACGATGACATTGAGTAACTCCAACATTTTTTTTTTCTTTGGCAACCGAGTCTCCACGATGTTGTCGATTATACTGCCAGTGTCAACTCCAACATTTATGCCCCCTGGCCACATGTACCCGTCCCTTTGGTATTTGACAACTAGTCAAACTTTATTCGAATTCAAGTTGTCAAAAACGACAGTTATCTATGAATTTTGTACGAGATTGTGTATTGTGACGTCACGTTTTTTTAGCGTCAAACCGCATAGGTATTATTGCTTAAAAATTTGCTGGAAAATAAAATACTAAAATGAAGTGGATCATAAAGTCAAGAAATGAAAGTGTGATTATTTTTTAATATTTTATTGTATTGTCAGTCGAATTTTTTTTTTACTAAGTAAAGTACATAGCCAATGCTGCCAGGCCAGTCTTCTGGGAACGTTCTCCAGTGACAGCGATGCGGACAACTTGTTTGACGCTTAATGGAGCATTTTTATTTTCTGTTTTAATTACACACGGAACAATCCAGAAAATTTGAATTTACATTTTTTTATTTAACAACAAAATAAATACATGTACACTTATAAAGTAATTATAAGTGTGTCGGAGAAAATGCACCCATTGGGGGTACTTCGTCATCGGATTCTTCGTAAACGCGGTAAGTTCGGTACGGGCTAGCAGAACAACCGCTCACCCTCGTGTCCAACTCAAAAGTGACGCCTTTCAAAATGCCAACATGCCACGCCCCGTACCGACCATCACCCAAGCACACTGCTTGACGTTTCCGACAAATGATAACAGATGGCGTTGTTCTAAAATAACGATACTCGATAGCTGTGCATCTTTGTTGATTCTGCGACAAGTGTATGTACATATCTACATGTATTTATTCTTATTGTGTATGCTGCCTAAATGTACCGTTACGAATGGCCTATCTGTTTCCAATTATAAACTGACCATATCTGATTTAGAAATAAGACACAATGTGAATTTTTACATCAGCATTCAGTAGACCACGGCATTGTCCACTGGACTATACAACAGAAAAAAATGATTGCAATTCTACCTACTTACATATTATAATATAATATATGCCGGGCTGATTTGTGAATCTAAACCATTCCCAGATCCCCTTGAACACACACAAAAAAATTCATCAAAATCGGTCCAGTCGTTTGAGACAAGTTCAGTGACATACACACTCACAGAAGAATTATATATATAAAGATAATTGGGTATCTTTCTTAATAAAAAATAAATTATTTTGACTGTTCAATGCAATTCATCATCAACAGCCTATTGATTTCGCAATTCAGACTGTCCAAAGTACAGAAATCCTTAATGGGGTTAGGTATTAAATGCTATAATAAAATACCAAATAGCATACTAGATCTCAATGAAAGTAAATTTAAAACATATAAGCGCGAATTATGTAATCTAGCTTACTACACACTGACAAATTATCTTGAAGATAAGAATGCTTGGCTGCATGTTGGTTCGTCGGCTCCACTGGACAATACTCAAATGTAGTCAGTAGTTAAATTCCAATAGTAGGTAATATAATACATAATTTAATACTTTAATTCTAATGTAGACAATCTAGTTTCCTTATGGCATCGAGCATTTCTTTCTTTATTGAAACAAAGAGTTTCCTTTTTCTTGTATAGAAGCACTATTTCTATGGATTGTCAGTATGCATATGTGAGCACCATGTTAGACTTAAGATTTTTATTTTTTTTATTTTAGTAAGTTATTAGTATAATGCGTCAAGCGAGTCTTTGCATTGTTCTTACATATGCGTACAGTATTGAAATATGTATCAGAGACATTGTAGAACATACTTTTTTTTAAAAGAGTAACGAATGGAGTTTTTTGCTCGTTCTTCTCCATTCGAATCTACGTTTTGGAATGAGCACCTAGCTTAACCTAGCTTCACTGACGGACTGACTTGTTGACGTTTCAAAAGTACCAAACTATGGTTTAATTGAAATAAATGCTTGACTTTGAGAAGGTTAGAGCGTTAATCACCACGCTTGCTCAATGCGGGTTGGCGATTTCAAACTTATAATTTGAAATTTTAAGTCAAGGTTTCCTCACGATGTTTTTCCTTCACCGTTTGTCAGTGGTGTCTAAATAATCTTAGAAAGTACATATAACTCGGAAAAAGTCATATTGGTACTTGCCGTTGGTAGGTTTCGAACCTGCACCCTCATGCATGAGAAGTGGGCGTCTTAATACTCCGGGCCACCACGACATTTTGTTTTTGTTCAATGCAATAAAATATCCAAAAATAATCACACTTTCATTAATTGATTTTATGACCAACTTCATTTTAGTATTTTACCAGCAAATTTTTAATACATAAGTATGCTGTTTGACGTTAACAAAACGTGACGTCACAGTACACAATCTAATACAACATTCATAGAAAACTGTCGTTTTTGACAGTTCGAAAAAAGTATTGAATTCGACTAGTTGATATAAGTACCAATTGTATACATTAGTACATTAAACTGTCAAACACCAAGCGGTCACCGGTGACCGCAACCTATTGTTCTATAATTGTGTCTACAAAACCGGTACTCGACGAGTTAAACAACAAACATTTAAATAAGATAAAATTAAAATGTTACAATCGATTACAGGCGATTTTGTATATTTATTTATTTATTTATTTATTTATTTATTTATATTTAAGAACACTTAAACTATCATTACAGGGCATCACGTACCCTAATGCGACAGCTAAGAACCAAACCAAATATACAATACAAACCAACACCAACTAAACCAACAATAACAATATATAGAATCAAAAATAGGAAAAAGCTATACATTATTCACCAACATAATTAAAAATTACATGTCATTATTGAAATTATCGAATCTAATAAAAATACATAATATTATTTTACTTATAACACAATATAAATAGTAATACCCTCGCGAATTCACCAAAACAACATGTTAACACATCAATCTGTGCGTGAAGGTCGTTAATGGTACGGATAGCTCTGGTAAGAGGTGCCTTAGCGAGTAAGTTAGTTCTCGCTGTAGGTACCAACAGCAAAGGCGGACTCCGCCGTCGCCACACGTAGCGGTCCGGCACACACAGACTTAAGTGCCGCAATACTGTCGGGTGACTCTCCACTCCACGAAGCACCCTCACCAAGTAGGCGACCAGTGTAAACTCTCGCCGGACATGCAGTTGATTATATCCAACCATACCCAGGATAAATAGAGTGGGATACATCAGTGGGTAAAACGGATATACCCCATACAATCTCTTGTACAGGTGGCGTGTGAACTTATTCTGAACGCTCTCCAGCATTAACGTGTACTTAGCTTCATGTGGAGCCCATATGACCGCACTATGTTCCAGATGACTCCTGACTAGTGCATCATATAGGACTCTAACTGTTGTAATATTTGTGAAGCTTTGTGTCTGTCTCAAAACAAATCCTAAGTTTCTGTATGCCTTCTTACAGATTCTGGTTATATGCTCACGGAATGTCAGATCGGGAGTCATGAAAACACCCAAGTCTCGCACCCCTGTGACTCTTTGCAGTGGCGCCGCATCCACCACATAATCGTAGCGCACCGGTGCACGAGCACGGGTGAAACTCATCAACGAGCACTTGGATACGTTAAAGTACAGCTTGTTTTCATGACTCCATTGTACTATGCGATCGATGTCCTCTTGCAAGCGCCTGCAATCTGCCTCTGACCTAATCTCTAACAGCAACTTAAGGTCATCTGCAAATAACAAACAAGCACCATGTCTTACGACTTCCGGTAGATCGTTTATCATGATAATGAATTCTAGAGGCCCCAAGTTGCTGCCCTGACTTACCCCCGACCAGGTGTAATATAGATCGGATTCACATCCTTTGTAGTCCACGTACTGCTTTCGGCCTTCCATGTAACTAGCAAAAAACCGCAATAGATTCCGCGAGCATCCTACTTCTGCTAGCTTCCGCAGTAATATGTCATTATCGACGGTGTCAAAAGCTTTTCTAAAGTCAAAATAAGCTACATCCACCTGCACTCCCGCATCGACAGCTGGCACCACTCGTCCCATGAAATCCAGGAGATTGGTAGCAGTGCTGCACCCTGACCGGAATCCGTGCTGCGCATCCGATAACTGTCCGCGCACTCGCTCTTGCATACAGCGCTGAATGGCAGATTCGAACACCTTTGCCGGCGTCGACAACACAGCGACTGGCCTATACCCACCG